AAGACCTTTTAGGAAAAAAATGCACACAAAAGCTTAATTATACCTTACACATAGAGACAGACTAAAGTTCTTTGGGCAGCTTCAATTTTGTTTCTTCCCCAGTTTCATCACATTCCATAATTTAAAGAGCACTTTTTATTTTTAAATGCTGTTTTGGATGTTATTTCATTTCTTTTTACGATTTGAAGTAGAAGTCAATAGTAAACCAGTGATTTTGTTGCTTACACTGGTTTAGAAGCAACAACAACAAAAAAATTTGAATGATGGAAAACCATAGCTGCTTTTATATATGCTAAGGAACTGAGCTACACAACACCAGATTAAGTGCCCGTTGGAAGAGTACTAAGTGGTGAATTCTGGTGAAAGATCTCAATACGTCACATAACTCAGTAGTATACACATACTGTATTTTTATTTTTGACCAAATACACAGAAGCCTTGTTCTCCCCCAGTCTACCTTCTGCTCTACTTAGTGCAGTGAGCCCAACCAAAAAAGACAAGTCACGAAAACAAGCTGTGTGGAATCAAATCTGTGTGCACTGGAGCAAGAGTTAAAGTACAGCAGTTTTGGTGTGTTAAATAATACAACTGCAAAGCTCATCAAGAAATAAATAAATCAAAGCTAATTTCTAAAACACTTTGTATGCAATAATGTTTCTGCACTACTTGAAGTTTGATCTTGGATTAAATTTACTATGTGCTCTAGGATTTAGATTTTACTGTTTTCCCAGATAGGACAATGAGATTAGTTGGTCTTGAGCATACAGTTTTGAAGCAGCGGGCCTTTGTTCCAGACAGTCTAGTTGCACCTTTCTTCACACTGCTTAAGTTTTCCTAGAATTTTTTTTCCTCCTGCTAAAGAACATCAACACTTTGTCCAGGCATCGAACCAAAGAGAGAGAGGTTACCTGTTTTGGCAGTGATGAGTTGCAAAACCAATGGTCGTCTTGTTACAATTCCAGAACCTCGTGGAAGAAAATCCCTGGAAACATTAAAAAAATAGTTACTACCCAGAAAGCACTGTCCAGTTACATAAGATATTGGACTAATTTGGAACCTCCTCTATACCTTCAGGTGCAATGAAAATGGAAAGTTTGTGGGGACAGATTTACATGAAACACTAGTATAAAGTAGGACTGTTAATTTTTGTTGGAGATAGCAGTAGGTCATTAGACAAATAAGTATTAAAACTAAATTACTGTCTTGAGGCATTACCAATTCTCTTTCTTCATGACCATATATAGCATTTCAAAACTCACCTTGCATAGTAAGAGTACGTGAAACCATGCCCACATTTATCAGGCTCTATAAAGAAATGTGTTCTCACCCTATACTTTATTTGAAGAGGATATGGGCATACGAATACACGCACTCACACACCACACCAAAGCTCTGGCCAAACCAAATTGCCAGCACTCTGCAGCTACTCTTTCACACACTTAACTTCTGCCAGTTCAAATCCCCAAATAACTTTTCCAGCAACACATCCGCCCAGAAGTTTTTAAGTGAAAGCTGAACACTGGAAGTACTCTGGGACAGCAGAAGGGAATGTCCTTGGACCAGAAAGCAAGCAATGAAGCAAAGACAGCAACTCCGTCATATCATTATGCATCCCCATGATCCTTTTAAGGCTCCCTATGCAACTGAAATCCTACAAAAACTTTGAATCAATTGTTAGTTGCAAAACCAATGATCAAAAACCCAAAGCAAAATAATAGACTTTTTTTTCCCAGGGTCTTCCCCAGTTGCCATACCTATTAAACTCTTACAGCCCTTGAGATGAGGTTCAGTGAGAGGCTTTGAAGAGTGCTCCCTTCAAATAAGCATCTTCAGAGGAATAAAATTCAGGAGGTATACAGACAGTTTCACAATCAGCTCATCGAAATCCCCTCCTTTTTCCTGCCTTAGCAGGGATGCTGAATCACCTTCTTGCCTGCCTTAGGAGCACTGCTAACTCACCTCTCCAGCTCAGGTAAAAAGCAATGCAGCAAATGGTTAGGGCACGAATTTTCCGTCAAATCGCAGAGCTGATCTGGGTGACTCTGTTGTCACATATGCTAGTGCCAGCACAAAGGGTGAGGCAGGAATGTGCAGTGCGTTTGGGAGGGGTGGGGAGAAGGACAAAAGAGTCAAAGGAAGAAAGATACAGCCATGTCAGCCCTTTAGACAGAACTGCTTAGATGGGTCTGCTCAAGCCACTTGAGAAACCACATCTTTCCTATAATCACTGTGTATCTTCATACTGACCTTGTGCTACTTAATGGATGCCTGATTTTAGCAGTTCTTTAAGGCAGCACACAAACATGCAAGGTTTAAAGCAAGCCTAAAGGGTACATCTATGAAAAATAACACACACAAATATTTCATCAAACTTCAGGATATTATTTGTGCAAATCAGAGGATACTAGTCTGAGGAGTCCCAGGTCAAGACAGGCTCAGGAATGCAACAACAGTGAACCTCTTTCCACAAGCGCCAACAAGGTAACAAAGGTTTGGCAGCCTGCAGAAGAGAAATATGGCAACTCTACCCAAGATACAAGCTCTGAAGATTTTATTCCCAATGTAACATCTAGACATAAAAGAATAAAAATTAAAAAAATCACATAAGCAAGCAGTTCTAAGGCTCTGAGGAACAAGACTGGCTGTCAGCTGTGCCCCACACCACTTCAGAAGTCACCAGCATTTTGAATGACACAATGTTAATTTCTAGATAAAATAAAAGTCTCACTTTCTCAGTACCTGTTAATGTGTGCTTACAGTGTGATTACTCTGCAAACTAAAGCTAAAGCACACCGTAAAAGGAGAGGCTGTTCAAACACAAGCTAGCTCATTAACTTCTATACTCAAATACAGATCTGCAGGCAAAAGTACAATTAATTAAGAACTCAAGTAACCTCGAAAACAAAGATAATGCAAAAACATCACGCATACTGATTTATATCTACTGAGATGTTTTACAATACTGGAGACAGCAACAGGATACAAGAACCAGCTTAGAGAGATGCTAAAGGCCTTCAAAGGTCAATCACAATTTCAATACCTACCAATGGAGAGAAACATGTGTCTTAATGAAGTGACATCTACTGATATTTTCTCATGGGGAAGAGGAGAAAATTTTTATAGAAACATTCATTTCTTTGTATGCACTGAAATGACAGTAGCCCAGGATGTAGAAAACGCCTATTGAGATCACAGTTTCATACTTTGATTTTTCAAGCATTTCAGATCTTATTTAAAAAAAAAAAAAAAAAAATCATTTTTCCATCAAGAAGCTAAAAGGAATAGCCATTCAGGACAAACTGATCACACACAGCAAACTAGGGTCCTCTACAGCACCACATGAGGCAGTAAAATCCTTCTTCGGGGAGTCAAAGGCTGAAAAGACTGACTGATTTTCTGCTTCAGACTAAGCACATTCAGAGATAAAGAACACTGCATTAATGCAACTCCTCGTTATACAACACCGACCTTCCCTCAACAGCAAAATTAGAAAGAAATGTACAACAACAATTTTCCTTTAGAACGTTCTCTTAATGTGTCCAAAATAGATAGCATTCGATAACCCGCCCTAACAAATTGAACTGTTGTCAAAAATCCCATCGTCTGTTCAAGCAAGCATCAGCAGAGAGAGGGTCCTGCTTGGTGAGACGGTGTGCTGTGTTGATCAACCAAGCTAAACAGCGTGCAGCAGAAGGACATAATGCTTCTGCTTCAGATGTACAGTTTGAAGAGGAAAAAATGACAAAGAATGAGGATAAAAAGAGGTTCATGGGGAGAGTTCAGGAGAAAACTCCCCCACCCCCAATTGCCGAATATGTGTTGTTTTACCTCTGAAAGAAACATCGACCTCAATTAATAAATCTGCCCTCACAGGGACAGGGAATTTTTTTTTTTTTAAAAAACATTTGAAATTTCAGCTTCAGCCACAAGGCAATGGCATCTGTACACTTTCTCTGCACAGCCCAAATCAGATGTTACAAATTAATACCTAAACTCTACTTCTAGAAAAAGACTGTTCTTTAAACACACACAGAAGTGTAAGTCAAATCTGAGACATAACTTGCACTTTTTTTAGGAAAAGCAACATAGTACCACATTACAATTCTAGTAGCAAGGGCATCAGATTAAATACTGTACAACTGCTTCTGCAGAAATGCCTACTTTGGCATCCACAAAACAGGATGCAGATCTTCTCCCGCTCCCCGTGATATGGAAAGCTTTCTACACAGGGTTCGTTAGTGGTGCCGAAAAAAAAACCCAGTGTATAAGGAATGGTCCCCACACCCTCATTTTTCCCTAAAACATTTACCTAAATAAAATGTTTCTTAAAGAAGAAGGGGGGGGGGAAGTTCAGCAGCAAGAAATATAATAGGACTGAACACAGCTGAGTTACAAAGGTTCCTTCTGACCAAAAGGATGATGCCCCTCAATGTCCTGGTGGCACACTTAACATTCTTTAAAGGACAGGTTTGAGATAGTTGCTTTTCCAAACCTTTTGGTCAGTGTGTACAAATATGTCTAGTAAGACTTGGGAGAAATCACATCAGAGTTGAAGCAGCTGCAAAGAAATCCATCTAGAAAAAAGGACATGCCTGAGAATTTGTGCACAAAGACAAGAGAGAGAAAAGGCTGTCTTCTGTGGTGGGGGGAGTGAGCCTGTGAGTACCTGTGTGCACAACTGCAAGACCACTTAACAATAACAAGGTGTAGGAAACAAGAATGAAACACACTGCAAGAATAAAGCTGGGAATGGAAGATATGCTCCTTTAAAAGGCATGCATCCTACATTAAGAAGCAAACTACTTTTACATCTTTACTCTCAGAATATTTTCAGCAAAAGGTACTCTGCTGACAACAACTATACTAGCTCAGCAGCACTGCTGCTGTGACATGACAGTTTGGAGACTGGCAGCAAAGCCTGTCTAGTGTTGCCTAGCCAGTACTGAATATATCAAATGCAAATAAGATGCAAGATGCCAGGTCTTCCAGAACATCACTTCAATAACTCTTCAACCTTAGAATGCACTCATCTGTTAGAGTACCATTAAATATTTTCAAGAGCAAAATATTTTCAGGGCCAAGTAATTTTTACCCTAAAAACTACAAAATTACTCGTCTTACTGCACAACATAAATTATACTGTCTTCGCTCTCTAATACAGCTCATTTCCAGTATCAGAGATCTGGACAAGTATATCTACTAAAACATTTGTTTAATGTGTAAAGGTTACAGATATTAGTTTGAATTTGACTTTCTAAAACCCAAGTCTCAAAAACAAGTGTCACAGGATGGTGACAGAAGTTATCAATGGCCATACCAACACCTTAGCAGTTTATAATAACAAGACAGTTAGGTGTCTGATCTTTGCTACAGTAGACAACTTTACTGTAAGAAAAAAAAAAGTTCATGTCTCTGTATGTTGTCTTTCCTTTATCGTACCCACCCTCTCTGACTGATGCTCAGAAAGGAAATAAGCTGAAAAAGTAATTAGACAAATCATTAATGGGAAGAGTCCCGTGGAAGAGATGGGAACACCCTTTCAAATTTCAGAAAGGGCAGAAACCCTGAAATGCTGAAAAGCAAACTAGACAGAGCCTCCTTCAGTGAGGTTGTCTCATTATAATGCAGGACTATAGCTTACAAAGAAAAGAACACATATCAAACAAACAAAATATAAACATAACGTGTTCCAAGGGGATTTCCAGGTAGAGGAAGAGTTTTCATTTAGGAGTTCTCTAGCACACTAGCAATATTTATTATGTTAAAAAAAGAAGGAAAAAAAAAAAAGACAAAACAGAAGAATCCGCAGTTTGTGTGAAGAGCGATGATGCATCACCACTTAGAACTTAATCATGGTTTCAAAAGAGTAACATAAACCTGCTTTACTTTGCCAGTACAGTACTGAAAAATGTTCTGCACTTTGATCAGTTACATGGTCAGTATTATGCAGGATAAATGGTGATTAATTTACAGTAATACCAA